ACACGGCATTCAATGGCAGGAAACTTGTAAGAGGGCACTGCCACCAGCTGTATCAAAACAGAGGACTTGCTCCATGGCTTCTTCCCAAATAATGCATCTATTCGGAACTGCGCTGCTTTCTATTTGAAATTGCAGCCTAACACTAACAAGATTCCACCAGGTGATGCTGCTGAATGCTGGTCTATAGGGTGCGTGCTTAGGAAGTGCTTAAATATGGCATTATATATGAAAATTGCTCAACAAATCTGTCAACAGAAGTAAATTCATGAGCATTACAAGAGAAACCAACCCCCCCTCACCAAATCATTGCTGGAAATTGATGTTGTCAGGTGTAGCATAAGCCTTTATAAACAGGAAACAGCTGCTGTTAGAGCTGCACGGAGATGCATCAGTGAAGAAGTTTCTTTAGCCACTTTTATTAGGCAGTGTGGAAGACTGGTTTTCACAGCATGCCTCTGAATTTACATACTGGAATAAAAAAGGTTTAAAAATAGCCATAGGTTTAAAAACACAAGGGAGACAACAAACCTCCATCTTCATATTTATAGAGCCTTCCATTTAATTCAATCACTGGCGAATTTTATCTGCTGTTTAATTTGATCTAAACCTCTGTAACCACATCATCAGTAGTAAAAATAACATAACTTCCATGCTTTATTTTAATCAGTTCTGATCACTGCAAAGCAGCTCGTACTTGACAGTTTGGTCACAGGCAACAAAGCTGTTTTAATAAACAAGAAAGGCTTCATCTTTGGGCAACAGATAGTCCACAGAAAAAGTTAAAAGCTTTATAAATAAATAAATTTTCAATAAATTTGAGTTATTCACACGGTGTTATATCACAAATACTACTGAATACTACAGAGACCTGTGCTGGACACAGCATTATCATGTGCACGACAAAATCAACTACATTAATCATCCAGCACAGTGGAAATGGACTCAGTCAAAATACTTGTAAAAGTAATAGACCAACCAACTCACAAAGGATTTTTGACTTAGGGAAGTGCAAAGTTTTAAGATTTAGTTTTGTACTAAGTCAGTTCTTTCCCTGCATCAATGTGACTACACTTCTACTTCAGTTGCTCTTGCCACCCGCCCCACTATTTGACGTTGCCACAATGCCCCTTTCCCCCGCTCTCTGTTCTCCGCCCAGCCGCACCACCTTCCGTCTTCCCTGCAATAGAACTTTTCTGATGCGCATCTGAAAAATCTGGCAGAAGATTAACTTAAGGATAACAAAAGGGGGAGTGTGACTTTTTGGGGGTCCAGAGGCAAAGCAGGGGGCAGAATATGATTCTAGGACTAGAAAGGCAGCAATGGAAAAACTGAGGCAACAAAAGCCATGATCTACGTTATTTCAGTTGGGCACATGCCATAGAACCTTTCTCAGCTAAGGAGGCTAACTAACCAAAGCTTTGTACCGGGTGTGGTATCCGCTTATTTATCCAAGTTGTAAAAATTAAGTAAGTAGATATTTGCTGGGCCACAAGAAGAGATTAATTTTAAGTCCAGCAGAAATCGGGACATGGTTTGGAGCTGGGTCTTCCACTTCCCTTCGAAGTGTGTCTCTTGGATTATCAGCCAGCCACATTACCAGAGGCTTCCTCCTGCTCATCACTTGCCATCAGGAGATGGAGGGGACACACACACTTAAGGTTTAACCAAAATTTAATCGTTTTGGCCAGACTTTGGGTTTGACACATCAGTGTTTTCTGAAAAATGCCTTGTTGTGGAGTTCCTACGCAGCTCTAGCACCCTATGTATCACGCAGAAAGAGTTTTCCTCAGTTTGTATATACAGAGCCAACAATAAGGAAACTTCCCTTGCAAGTCTCAGAAATGCTCAGAAGTGCAGTACAGCTGCTTTAATCTGGAGTTTTCTACAAACTGCCAGGGACAAACACGCTATGAAGTTGTGCAGGTGGAGCTTAGTTGTCTATAAATAAGAGCACAGTTTGATCTTTGGCTCTGCTGAGGCTGGAGGCCTGCCAAATGTTTCTGGAACCTTGGATGGAACAGAACAAGAACAAATACGATAAAATGAGCTGAGACTGACAATGATTTATAGAGTCAATGATCATTATTCTGTACTCACAGAGTTTGTACTTTCGGAGTAATGTTTCACTTTTCAATAAACTTTGCTTTTTCTTGTTCGTAAGGCTCTATTCTCTATCATTTAACATGGACCACTCATCAAAACACCCTGAGCTGCAGCAGCTATGGCACTCACAGCATTGTGCAGCCGATGGAAAAAACCAAGGAGACTGAAAAAAATCTACACAGAAAAAGAGGTGTTGGCACTGTACAATTTAACCATGAATGTGGGAAAGAATGTATGCAGAGAAAACAGAGGTTAAAACAATATGAATACAAACTTACTAAACACAGGGCAGAGCACTTGAAGTATTTGTTCTGACAGTCGGTACCCTAAACAAAACTCCCTTTTATGACAAGATAACTGTAAAACTGATCAGGAAACTGTGTTCTAGGCTTTTTACTCATCCTCTCCTTCGCTTTGCTGCCAGTGTTAGCACACGATCCTCTTTCACTCTGCGACTTCAGGCAGTCTCCTTACCACAAGGGTTCTTTGTTGGATTTCAGAATAAGCCTACATTAATACAGGTTTATATGGCCTGGCCTACCCCTAATCTAGCTCTTGCAAAAAAGGTTTACATAAGGAGAGAGAAAGCACACATAATTCATTGGAATAACTCCCTGAAAGACTTTCAGAGAAAGCCGAGCTTAAAAATGTCTCTGCAGCCATTGTCTGAATAATTAAAAAATGCCAAGAGACCACAAAAGTTTCACCCATTATTAATCCCTTCTATTTTATAGCACCATTGCAACTTCATCAGTAGCTTAACAAGACCACAAAATTTTTATTTACTTCTTCAAATACTTTACCAATTAACTAACTAGCTTAAAAATTCTTTCGTTCAAAGGAAAAAACAAGAAAAAACTTTTCTCTTGGCACTTTTACATGAGCAATGCTGTCTTGCACTGTATCAGATTTTTCTCATTTATATACCTTTAGGTATACATGACAAGTTGAATTTCTATCCCCGTTTATTCCAATATGCTACATAAGAGAGAAGCAGCTTTTCCAACAGTGAAAGGTAAAAACCATAAGCGAGTCTGAAGTTCTTCTGTGATAAATATTTTATCATAACTAACTTCCAATCATCTGATTTTCTATTTTAGTGCACACTGCAGCCTAATTACTGAGCTAGGAAATATAACATTTTTCCACTTTCACAAAACCAGACATGCCTAGTCAGCTTGCTAAAGAGGTACGGTCTTCTTATATGTTACATTTCACATAAATCTATTCTGTTAAGCACAATTAACATCAGCATTAAAATGCAAAATATTTTTAGGATGTAATCCAAGTGAAATTCTTTTTTTTTTAACAGTCAAGTAGTTGTGTGCTAGCTTAAGCTGCAAGGTCTGACAAAGGGTTGTAATGTAGCAGCATTTGGATTCCAAATGCTGCCAGAAAATGCATCTTCTGTTGAATGCAATATTTAAGAATCTGTTTGTTTACAAGGTGTCAGCAAATTAAGAATCTATAATTTGCTCCCAACTTCACATGATTTATTTCGGTTTACAACCCTACAGAAAACTGTTTAATAAGCACAGTTGCATTATATCATATGTATAAAAATTAAGCCAGCAGAAACCTCACAATTGCAGCAATTAAGCTGCAAAATGAACCACAAGAAGCACTTTTGCTTCCCTAATTCTCACACAGATATCATCTCCCCCAAATTCTGGAAAAATACCCAGAAATTAAAAAAAAAAAAGTGTGGTCCATTTGAGTGTGAAGTGCTTTCCCAGCAACACACCCTCTCTGTCAACTAGAGCTTTTATGAAGAGGTGTCTTTCTCAGGTCAAAATGATTTTTTTTCCACTAATCAGACTGCACAGCAGGATCTTTTAGTAGGCTAATGACAACAGTAGAATTTCAATCCAAAGCCATATACACCAAAAACCTCAACCTCTGTCTGAAGGAAAGAATGACATGTTTACATGTTCCTTCCCTGCCTGCACTACAACCCCAAACCTGGAAAGACTAACTACCAGCACATGCTGAAACAGCAGCCATATGGAAGAACCAGCACTGTGACTGCTAATTGTGTAAGTTGATGAGACTTGCAGCGTACCAGGCTGTGAAATTGTATGAGCCCAAATCCCTCAGCGATTCCAGGTCCGTAACTGTGAGGATACAATAGTGCATTGCATATTTACTGCATGCCCCAAATTCATCATGTCCATACATTACTTTGGGAGCTACATGTAAGAGGGATGCACTGTTTTCAGTACAGTTTTGGAGCCTGACAATTTCTACATATTTTAAAGTAAACGTGGACAGCATGGCTAAATCCCAGCTTTCAGATAATCTGGTTTTGGTCTGCTCTTTGTCAAAGATTCATCCATCAAGAACTATGCCAGTAAACACTTTCTAACATTCCATATGAGGGGAAGAAGGGCCTTAATCTCAAACTCTATTTAGGAGAAACACTGATATAACAACCTCCCATTAGCCAACTTGAGCTGACACTGTAAGCCTCCTCCAATACCAGCAGGAAAAAACCAGGGACGATACTTTGTATGCCTTTTACATCTTGTCCTACTCCAATTAATGAATGTGGCCAGCCTTTTTGGAGGTGAAAATGAAAGAGAAATTTAGAGTCCAGAAATTTTGCAGCTGCTCATTTACCCTATAGCATCCTTTCAAAAACAGTCACTTTATCTTCTCCTCTCTTATTCTACTATTAGAAAGGTATTTTCCCCAGTCTAATAAAGTTCTGTGTATCGAACGAGGGCCCACTAACTCAGAATTGTGCAAAAATTTATCCTGTGCAGCAAATTACTTGTCCCTCTTCTTTCCCATAAAGATAACCTCTTTAGGAAAAAAAAAAAAAAAGAAGAAAGAAAGAAAAAAGCAAGAGAAGCAACATGAACTATAAGGCTGAAGGGAATAATTAATTTCCCTACCACTTCATCTTCAGTCCAACACTTCTCAATCAGTTTTGGCACAGGTTTCTTCACCAAGCGCTGCAGGGCTTTTCCAGCATCATAGTTACTTTCATGTAGCTAAAAAATAAAGAAGACAAATAGATCATTCAATGGAATTAGCAGTGATCTGATATTGGAGAACTACTAAAGCGGGCCACATGAGGTGTTCTATGCCTAATTATTTTTACTGTTGAAATATGAAGCGAAATTTAAACAACCTGGAGGGTAATTGGGGTTTTATTAGTAGAAGAAACAGCATTAAAACAAGTATATTTTCCCCTTCCTTCCTAAACTTCTCCCAGATAATGTCTGAGCCCATAAAGCACTGAAAATTTTTTGGTTAACTTTAAAAAACATTTTTTACATTAGAAATTCCAAGGAAAATTTGAAAAAGCTCCAACAAAACATTTTTCAAAAGGAGTTGTATTTTATGCAGCATATTTTGTTCAGATTAGTAAAACCAACTGGAAAAACTAACATACAGGAGGGATTGCAAGTCATGGGATGTCAAGTTTACCCATCCAGAAAATTCTCTGTATTTTTATTGCACTGCAAAGATCACCATGCTGTCGGAAAACAAGTATGGAAGAGAAACAAAACCTCTACAGATAGCTACAGGAGTACATAAAAGCAACTAGGGATGTCTAAGTTGACATTACTGTTTCAGCTGGTCACAGCCTACATTGTACCTTATTTTCTACAATAAATTCAGTATCTATATGATCAAAAGCTGTCTGAAGTAGACAGTAGACATTTAAATCAGGGTGAGGCAGAAAAACAACTACACTGAAAAAACATTCAACAATGAACCCATGAGACTCTCTGGCTCTTAACTCTTGATAGAAAACATTTAGCACACTGTAGATTTATAACCTGTCCTATCTTCAAAGTACAGTGGGATTTTAAGAACCGAAGGACTAGTCAGGAGCCTGCTCTATGTCTTCTGAAAATGATCTCAAAGAAAAAGAAATATTGCTGGGATGACAAAAACTGAATTATCTTGCTACACACAAAAGGGAGAATGATTTGCATGCAGACTTCTCTACTCAGACAAAACGTAGTTCTTCTAAACAACGTGCTAAGCAAACCAAAGCTTCAAAGCTTTCGATTAACATCACAGAATTTTACAGACCCTCAAAAGTTTCTTTACAATAGGGATAACCAAAACATGATTCTGTACATTGATTATCTCCTGCCTTTCCTTCCCACCCAGAATTTTTCCCAAGCCATCTGCATCCCACTCTCTAGAAGCATCCATGCTGCTAGACCTGTGCTTAATCAGTCTCAGAAAACATTTCAACAAGTACTACAATTGTTGAACTTTTCCCAAGACTGATGAACTGAACAGGGATCAAGATGCAATTACTGAGCAGCGACAAGACATTAACTACTTTGTCACTATTAATACAAAGTTATAAGAAAACCTGATTACAAGAGGAAAAAATTCCGCATTTTTCCTATGTCAAAAGGCTCAAATTTTAGAATAGCATTCTGCTTCAAATAAAAATAGCAAGATTACTTTCTTATTGCGGCTCACTTTAGCTATTTACATCTCTCAACCGATTCATAAGTACCAATTATGTACATATGACAATGGTCAGACCCCTTCTACCCTGGGGCCACCTCCTACCAATACTGGGTACATATGACAATGGTCAGACCCCTTCTACCCTAGGGCCACCTCCTACCAATACTGGGTTTTCCTTATATTGCTTCTTTTGTCTGGTCTGGTCTTAACTCAGACTGTAAGCTCTTTGGTGCACAAGAATGCCCTGCATTCATACTGCATCCAGTAGCATGATTCAGAGACTTTTAAAAGCTGTAAGTAAAATACTCAAATTTACTTCTTGTTAAGTAGGTCTAAGTGATTTCTACTAAGAAATAAAGGCAGACATCTGAATCAAGATAAAAGGGAAGGGAAAAAACAAATCACTGGCAATACAGAAAATTTTTTTAGTGGGACTATAATAAAAGTCAGTTTCCTCTGAAAGCCGGCTTTGTGCAGTTCTCCCAGTAAATAATCTATGAAAGGTTTGTGCACTGACTTTTGAAAGCCACCATACAACTTACAGAAGAAAGAAAGTGACATGGCAACTTAGATTGCTATGATGACATTTACAGCAAAATACAGACATGCGTGCATATGTGGGGGGGAGCGGGGTGTATTATAAACATATATATAATATACTTCTTTAAAGCTGCAACACTGTTGAATCTAGGTTTCAGATGGGACAAACCCGCTGTAAGAAAGCCAGCACGGCTCCAGAGCCATGGCACTTCTACGAATGACAGGGCAGAATATTCAACAAGTCTTCAAGAGCTGCAGCAGAACTTGCCAAAAGCTGGGAAATGGAAAGCAAAGCTCTGCACTCTGTACAGGACTCATGCAGCTGTGAAAAGAAAGCACATCTGTAAGACCTGGTACAAAGCAGTCTTCACTTTCACTTCCTGGCTTTTGTCAAATCAGGTTTTAAATAGCTCGTGCATCTGTAAGTACACTGCTTTTTTATAAAACAGGGTTCACTTTTTCAATAAAAATGATACCATAAATGGACAGGGAATTTCAGAGAACAAAAGTGCCCATTTCACACAAGGTACTGTGGTCTATCGTATCGGGGCACTTTATGAAATGGTGGACTTTGGATACCAGATATCATGCCATGCTATCTTTCCATCTCCATTTTCTGGTCATGAATGCCACAGAGCGGATTGTGGCAGTCTATAAAGCCAATCCTTCTGCAGTACAGAGCACACTAGAAATTACTTTGTTTTCTTCAGCAAAGAAAAAGTCCCTGCACGTGAACCTCAAGGTATTAAAAATAACAGCTAATGTATTCCATTTGCTGATGAAATTTCAGTTCCATATAGTTTTGAGCTTCCTTTGTAACACCTGAAGAGCCAAGTTCCCAGACAACTATTTGATCAACAGTTTTTACCAAACACCTCAAACAGGTGGTCTGAGGTCCAAAAATGCAGAGGGGACCAGGTTAGCTATAAAAGCAGAAGTGCACAGCCTGCTAGAAAAATTAGGCCACTCAAAAGTCATACTGCGTACCTCCTATTGACAGGGATGAACATGTTATCAGTGTGCTAAAGAAGAAATTAGTTACGGGTTACACGTCACACAAATTGGCTCATATCTTCTATTATCAGTAGTAAGAGATCTTGAACTGATGAAGGTACTCTTCCACCTCCACCAAGTTACTGGGGCATTCGAAATTTATTTATACTTAAGGGACTTATAAAGAAAGTAAAGTACTTCTGAAAATAAAAGGTCACTACTGGGCAAAGACCTCTGATCATTACCTGCAACGTGTTTTTAGAACAAACAATAATGTTCCCTTAACTGGCGACCTGAACATTTTTTTTCCTTACCAACGACTAAAATAACAATAGCATACAGGGTGCTACTGCAGTAAAACAGCGCTTGGCTAATATAATGGGAACAAGAAAGCAAGCTAAGCCGGAGTGGTTTTCTATTCATTTTCAGCTTCCTATATGGCACCTACAGGGAAGTTAGAGATACTCACTGCAATAATAATATGTATGTACCTTTGCAGAGTAACCATAGAAAACAGTGCTTCAGCTTCCAAAAAATAATTTCCTCCCCACCCCGCTTCTTCAGCTATCTGATCTCTGCAAGCTACTGCTAAGAGATGCATTAACACATCAGAGCCATCCATAGCACCCCACACTGCGGTAAGTCAGGGAGATGCATTACCTGAGATCACTTAGGAGAAACCATTGCTTTCAAACCTGTCTCCCCAGGTGAAATTTCCTAATGTACAACAGAACCACGGCTTGTAAATCTGCCTCTGTTGACTACACCAGTGCCAGCTCCCGTGACTGCACCTCCATGCAAGTGAAACAAGGATCTTGGTCCATCTTACATAAGCCACAAGTCAAATGGTAAGAGTCGAAAGCTAGACTTGCAGTGCTAGTGCTCAACGCCAATACTCAAACACCACTAGTGACTTTAAACTTTTTTTTAAACTTGTTTTTTTTAAGACTCCTGTGGTATGCAGTACCTACTTAACGGCATGAAAATAAGATGTTGTCTTTTCTACTGGGTACACATTAATTTTTCTCCTTGTTTGCACTCCAGCACTGGGAATAGATCCATCTTAAAGAAAAAAGGGCTGTTTGTTTTGCCAGCTCACCTTGCAAATGCTTTTTTCTGTGCACGCCACTACCTAAAAGATTTTTCACTTCGGAAATTTGACAGTGTTGAAGAGAATAGTGCTTCTGTTTCTCTTCCCTCTTTGCTCCCTCCCAAAACATGCAGTAATGCCAAAGCCTCTTTGTAACTTGGAGGGCATCTTTATTTTGCCTCAAGGACAACACGTGTTTTTCCCTGGCAGCCCTATTGCCCAAGCAGTTCAATCAGCAAAAAAATCAGACAAGCCCACAACAAAATGGACTGGTCTAACAGGCAACTACTTTGGTTATTGAAAAATACAAGAGTTTACAGGCCGTCAAAACTGCCCCAAATCAACAACAGAAAATATGAGCATTAACTTTTTTGACCAAGTAATTACATTAATAAAAATCACAAAACCCATAAGCACAGACGTGAAAGAAGAAGAGTCATATAACAGAGAAGACACAGATGTGAAAACAAGAGACCTGATACAGGTTTAGAGTCTTCTGAAAAACGTTACTTTTAGCAAGCGGAACAAGAAAGCTTTTGTAAGTGCCAGGAGTAGGATAATGCAGCAAAAAGGAAAAAATATTTTTTTATAAGTGCCAGAGTTAAATTTACATGTTTCAATCTGGCTCATTCTCTGCTTATTACTTTCGGTCATTTAATATATATAAGCACTTTATTGGCACGCAACTCAAACATATAAATAATAGCTAATGATGACTGTCTATGGTTTCATTAACTTCTGGTTGAACTTTTCAAGGTATTGCTATAAACACTAGATTACTATCCTGTCACCTAGAGAATCACCATTTTTAGCATTAACTCTGCCATCTAAATTTTGAACCACTGTGACATTATGTACCTATACAACTGCAACAAAAAGAATCAACACAAACGTACTTTGACTTTAAAACAGAAAATACAGCAACTT